TCCTTCCTTCCCCTTCCTTTCTTTCCTTCCTTCCCCTTCCTTTCTTTCCTTCCTTCCCCTTCCTTTCTTTCCTTCCTTCCCCTTCCTTTCTTTCCCTCCTTCCCCTTCCTTTCTTTCCCTCCTTCCCCTTCCTTTCTTTCCCTCCTTCCCCTTCCTTTCTTTCCCATTTCCTGCCCCACAAATGCCTCCAAGGCACACCCTCACCAAGCCACTGGCACAGGTCAGTCCTGAGAGATGCAGAGCAGAGCTGAGGCAGATGGATCAAGTTTGATCTCTGCTCTAAGTTTCAGTGATTCCCTTCTAGGTCAGRGCAGTAGTTCAAGAGCAAACCCAGCTCAGTTGTGAGAAGTCCTTTCAGCTGAGTTTCCAACTCCTGCCCTATAAAGCACTTCCTACCTTAATTCCTTGTGAAAGGTTCTGGGAAACATGAGCATAAAACAGAGCGTTGAGTTAAGTAAAATCTGAATATTGTGACATCTCTCCTGAGATAAATGACAGGAAAGAGACAGCTGACAACCAGGGCCTATTCAGGCAAGCTAAATTCTACCTAGCTCCCCTGTCAAGTGATTCCTCTTGTCTGGCTGCAGGCAGCTCCTCACAGAGCAGCTCTGCAGGGCCTTTGGCAGTTTTCAGGGGCCCCAAACTCTGCCTTGACTAAGCAGAGCAAGTGGTGTGGATGGAATGATTTCCTGGGAGAGGTGGCAGTGCTTCAGTGCCAGGGGTGGCTGTCCCCACCAGGCAGGACAGGGTGGCACAGAACCAAGGTCCCCCCCTGGAGTGATTYCCTCCACCCAGGGAGGCTGGAATTGGAAGCTGATGTGGCCCATCAGGCTCAGCACAGGGCTTTGAGGCTGCATGGGAGATGCTGAGGTCTGGTGGGCTGGGAAAGAGARATAAATGTGTGTGTTTGCAATTAATTGGATTTACTGATTCTGTGACACTTGAGTATTGCACAGCAGCATGCCTTGCCTTCTGGCTGTGTCACAGGCTGCTAATACATGATTTTTTTTGGTTTTTTTTTCAGAGACCATTGATGACTTCACTTTAAATGCTGGGGTCAGCAGCATCAGCTTGAAGGAGACACCCACTTCAGCTCCAGGCAAGTCACCTCTGAGATTCTAACTTGATGAGAGGGGGGGTGGGAAAAACCAACTCCAAATGACCAAATCTTCAGCATTTTGTAAAATATGAAAATATATGTATTGTTTGCAGTGGAGGAAGATGCTGAGGACAGGCCAAAACACGTCATCTGTTTGAAACCRCCGGAGGAACCGTAAGTTCAACAGGGGTGTGAAACAGCCCCTGCAGGGAGAAAGGCTGGTCAAGGGCTTGGAAATGCAGGGTTGTTGTGCTTCCTTCCTGCAGCCCATCCCCACCTCGGATGTGGAAGGTGGAATCCCCAGCAAGGAGAGAGAGCAGCCAGCCAGTGCCTCTGCAGCGGGTGCTGCGCTCAACTCGCAAAACTTCCCAGAACAAATGARCCCTGCCCTTCCTCCTGTACAGAACCACCATGCTGCCTGAACCTGCCCTCCCTTCTGTGCTTACAAATGGCTGTGAATGCACACCCTCCTTATCTGTTCTGAGATGGCTTTTCTTCCAGAACATCCTGGAGATGGGCAGGCACAGCCTGCATGAGCACATGGATGGGTTAAAYGCTGCTGCTCCTGACAGAGCTCACTGAAGGGAGGCCTCGAGAGCTGCAGTAGGAAAAAAGAGTGGCTTTTCACTCTGAGAATGTGTAATTTGTCCATTTGGAAAAGTAATGGCATAATGTTGCCATGAGCTTAGCAATAAATGCATTTATCCCAGCGTGCAGGGTTTATTCAGCCCATCCCTCACTGCCCCTCTTGGTTCCATACCAGAGCTCCCTCAATGTGAACAAAGGTAAAAAATCTGGTAATTGCACGCTACATCACCTCTTGTTTGTTGGGCAAACGCCTGTGTTTTTGAACAGCCTTAATGCTCTTTTTACATAGAATATTTCTATTCTTGAGCTATGTTATTTCCTGCTATTAGCATTTGATGAAAATAAATGGTTACAGAATAAATTCCACCCACGGCGTCTCCCCTTTGCTTGAGCTGACAGAAAAATGATTTTTTTTTTCCTGTAGATTTCTACAGCCTCTGTCTCTTCCACCAACCACATCCCTGGTATCTTGGGCCCTCAGTTCAGTTAGTTTTGGACCAGCACATTTAAATAGACTCTGATTTGACTGAAGGCAGGGTATGAGTTAACTCAGAGCAAGGTGGGTTAGTGCTCTGGGCAGRTAACTTGTTTGTCATAAATATCCTGGATAAATCTGACCATTCCCRAGTCTCCCTGATGGCCACGTGCACCTCACTGAAGTTTTTCTGTCGTTAACTTTCATCACAGAGCTCATGGCCTAGATTTCATTGAAATTTGGAGCTGGGATCTGTTTTATTCCTGCTGGTTTGTGTCACTCAGATACRAACCCCAGGCACAGAGCAGGATTCACTGCAGGAGTGGAAGCAGAGGCACTTACCTCCTGCCCTGCAATCCCATCATTTGCCTSCACTTTCCCTGCTCCCCTTTGAAGATCTGAGAACCCTTCATGTGAGGTTAAACTTTATTGTCAAAATCAAAGCCAGAGAACAGAGKATGTATGGAATGGTTTTGGATAAAGCTGGTCAGCTTTGGCCAAACCATTTATTTTTGTGCCTTCTCTCCTGCCTTCAAATATTACTGAACCACTCTCAGTGGTAAATTAGGGTACTTTCTTTCCTACTTTGTTCTTGTTCTGTTCTCAAGCAGTATCTGAGATGAGCCCTGTGAGTTTTAAAAGAACCCTGTTTTTAAAGAAGAACTAGGAACAAATGTCCAAGAATAAACTGATGACCAGTCCTCGGGGGTGTTCTGACAGAAGAGACTCTCCCTTATKTCACTGAATTGAAGCAGAAGCTTCCCACAATTTGGCTGTTTGAAAAACACCACCAAGCCCAAACAAAAACCCCCTACAAGAATGCTTTATAGCTTGGTATTTATGTAAAACATTCTTGGCAAAGTTAAACGTAATACATTAGTACAAACCTGAATATTATTATTCACAACAATACAATGAATTTCATCCATCAGCTCTCACGAGCTGTGCGTGGGGGGATCACCTCCCCTTTCGTTAGAGATGCCACTGTGCATTTTAGAACTGGGAGGGGGGAAAGAAAAGTTTGGATTCTTAGCTCTGCTGGTTTGTCACATGAAGGCTGCCTTTGGTGGGGCTGCAGATTGTGCTCCCAGAGCCACCCTGGTTCAACCCTTTCCTCTCTCTCCCTTAGTACAGGTGCACTGAAAGCAGCACAGAGGAGAGCAGTGGATAGCCAGAGGGTGCAAAGGAATGTCAGAACAATTAGAGGCAGCAATTTATATATTTATTAAATATATAATAATATATATTTCATATATTATAGAATTATAATATATAGATATAATAAATATATATTTATTATATATTTATAAATATTGGATGGCTTGGATGAAGAGCTGGTATTAAGCTGATAACCAGAAATTAGTTGCAAAATAGCAGTGGTGACGTGCGAGTTACACAGAGAACATCTGCTCAGGGCTGCCCCATCCTTGTCTTTCCTTTCCCTGGCAAAAGGACAAGTGGCAAGGCTTTGTTTAGGCAAAACAAATGCAGCAATGGCATGTCCAGCGAGGGCTCTAGGAAACAAAGCAGAGTAAAGCAGAACACGAAAAAAATAACACCAACAGTCCAAATCGTCAAGTATCCAAAATAACTGTATACAGGAAAAGTTAAGACAACTCAATCCATATCGGAAATACAAGAACACTAAATTCTGCTACATTAAAAAACTTCTTAAACCACAGCACAGTTTCTAGTGTTGCATCCATGTCTTGCAGCCTCGTCTCACCCAGTGCTGTTCAACTCCATCAACACGGATGTTCTGGGGAACACATGTTCCCAATCATTCTCTCTAAAGCCAAGAGAACCAAATTTGGTTGGTTTTTTGTTGCTTTTTTTTTTTTTCCTTTTTCCTTTACCATCTAGAGAAAAAATTTCAGCTGACACTCTAAAAGTGCTCTTGTGTTGAGCTTTTGCTTTCCCAACCCCAGAAGGAGTGGCCTTGGCCACGGAGTTTAAACCTGCCAAGCTGCTGTAGCTGTCGTGTTAGTGCTTTAGGGAACTTGCAGAGGGGCAGCAAACACTGAAGTCACTCTGTCACCTCTTTGGAACYGAACCCAAAAGCCATCCCTGGATTTTTTCTTGCAACGACAAAAAACAAAAGTGTTGGTCACCGGCAAGAAAAGCTGGGTTGTATTTTTTTTCCATATAAAAAAAGTTGATAGCTCCTGCCATAAATTTACAAAAACTATCCCTGAGTGACTCTGTTCTGTGTCTGGTAAGACCTCTTGTGACAAGGAAATGGCTGAAGCTGGCTGAAGAGGAAAGAGATGCTGTTCCACCTACAGCTTTTTATTACACTTTGCACTAATACTGATATGCTCTGACAGTGCCATACTCTAGCAAYGTGTGAGCTCCTCTCGTAGCTTCAATGGTAAAAAAATAGCTCCTGTTACTCAAACACTGCTGGCATCACGTATTTACACTTTTAAATAGAAATGTTACCTTTTCTGAAGTAATCAAAATAGATCTTTGCAAAAAATTTAGAAGGTTGGGGGGGTTTTTACAAAATAAACGGAGAAGGTAAAAAAAGCTGGAGGATCTCTCGGTACCTTTTATGGCAATCTTAGCCCAGGAAAGTATTTGGCTTTAATTTTCCTGAAAGGGATGTCTTAGCACTGGTTCYCTGCCTGCCCTCTAAGCCTCTTTCCCCACGGAAAGACGCAGGAGCCAAGCCTGCTTTGTGCAGATTAGAAGGAGGGGTTACCTGCGTGCAGCCATCCTGCAAAGCAGGGAGCACAAGCACTGCCCCTGCCCTGGGGGATCCTGYTCAATGACAACATTTGGGGCAGCTCACGGCAGGGCTGAGGGCGTTAGTGGCGTTTTTAGGGTCACTGGTGACAGGGTGAGCACACCCTGAGCGGTCAGAGCCAGGCATGAGACAATCACAAGTGTGGCAAAGTCACCGGCCAGGCCTGGCCATGAGCTGCTGGGAGCAAAAAACCCCCTTGCACGGAGAAATCTCCCTCTTTGAAGTCCATCTACTGCTGTTTCAGCACCTTTTTTTTTGTCCACCAGTGACACATCACCAGCAATGTCTCRGACACGTTTCCCTAACGCTGGGTTTGCACGCTGTGGCTGTGTCCCTGCAGCACAAAGAGAAGGCAATTCCACAAACTTCCACAGCCCAGTCTCTTGGGAAGGATTAAAACTTTTCCTCAGTCCAAAGGACAGGTTTGGGTGATCCTGTTGGTATCTCCGGAGGCAGGGGAGACGCGAGTTGGGCAGTGAGGAGTTACTTTTAAACTTTGGCAAAGAAAAAAAAGATATACAGATAGCTAGCTATCAAGTTCTTGTGTGTTCCAAACTCTTCCAAGCGCACTTAATTCATCTTTTGCTCTCGCTTTTGAGTTCCTGGAGGAGGTATTTTCACACTTGCTTTTTGCTGGTTTGCAATTTCCTTTTGGCCTCTTAGATGACGAATGAAGACTTGTGTCTGAAGTCACCCTGGAACAGAAAGTTTGGGATGCAGGAAGTGAAAAGAATGACCACAGCCTCTCTGAATAAAGTTACAGGACTCCTCTGTCTCATTTTTTGACATAAACCTCTGGTGTTTGTGGGTTAATTCTMCTGACAAAGGGCTCCAGCAGCTTCCCAGGCAGATCTCTGCTCCTGCTGTCCCCAAAGGTAGACGCAAGCTGTGTAACTGTGAGGATTCTGCCCAGGCAGCTCCCATTTCCCAYTGGGAAGGACAGGGAGGCACCAGTTCCACTGGGCAGGTGCTCCTCCTTGTTCACCAAGGCACTGCAGGGGACTTTCTCATTCCCTCATCAGTATCTCTGCTCATGGCAGAAGCTTTTTCTGATCTTAAGCCCAATGATCTACTCAAATCCCAAAATACAAATTCTCTCGTAAAAGCATCATGTCCTGCCCACTTAATCCAATGAAACTCATCCTAAGGGGGTCAGGCCACGAGATAACTCAGAGCAGAGCTGCTGGCATCAGTCACTCCAGGCAACTTAAACTGTTCATCATTTCTCAGGAAATGACTCAGCTTTCACCCTTCTGTTTTCCCTCTGTTCCCCAGCCTTGCTTCAGAGTGGAGCCCACTCTCACAAAGTCTGTGGGCCCTAAAAAGCGACTCGTCCTCTGCCCACCCTCTTCCTCTCCCGACAGAGATGGGAAARGCAAAGCATTCCTGGTTACCTCATCATCTGTCCGGATGTAGTTAACGCCATCAGGCTTTGCTGGAGTCTTGTAGCTGAAAGAAAAGGGGGTAAAAATCTCATTTTTGGGACAGGAAGACTGCAGGATTTTGGAGGGGAGGTGCTGAGGGAGATGGAAATGAGGAGGAGCAGCTGAGCGAGAAGCAAGCAGAGAGAAACCCAGTTTGTTTCTCAAATGAGAGCTCTGTGTTTATTCCATCACTTGCCATGGTTGGATTTTTTCTAAATTCCCCTTCAGCACAGGGTAAAAAAAGATTGCTGTGTGTTTCCCTAAGACTCTGCAAAGAGATAAAGTGATTCCTTTCTGGGCTCTCCTGCTCTGGTGCTTGTCACTGCCTTTCTGTGCCTCCTGCTCTGCTTCCTGTGGCAATTATAAAGTTCATTTTAATCCTTCACTGCCACATGCCTTCAGCATTTTTCTTAGTTATAAGGAGGCGCCACTTGTTTGCAATCCCACAGGAATTCARGATTTATACACGACTGTCAAGTCCGGTGTATGCCAACCCTCAGCTGCATTTAAATGGGGYATTTAGAGCTTTTTCTGAAAAACAAATGAAACCAAAGAGAAAAACAAGACAGGACTTGTGCTGGAAAGCAACATTTAGCACAGAACAAATCTATCTGGTGAGAATCTTGGCTTTGCATATATTATCTCCTCTCCAGAGTCTGTGAGGACATCGACGCTTGTCTCTGATGCTAATGCTGCTGCTTTTAACATTTCCATGTGCACTCGAAAACGGTTGCTATTCATCCCAAATTTAAGTCCTCGCAACCATCGAGATTTCCTGTGGAGAGCCTCCTGTGTGCATCTATTCCCTGTGCACATCCTGAGGCTTCAGACTGACCCTGCAGTGAGCTCTGACCATTAAATCACCCCCTCATTATGCCAACAGCACGTGAACCCCTGGACAAGCATTTAATGGTGCTGGGCTCCCTTTCCCAGGCAAAGGATGAGGGTTTTAGAGCACAGCTCCCATCCTCTGGCTGCTGCTGGCAACCACAGCTCTGCCTTGGGAAAATGCCATCCATGCCTGGGAGTGTCCMAAGCAAGGTGGGATGGAGCTCTGAGCAGCCTGGGCTGGTGAAAGGTGTCCCTGTTCACAGCAGGGCTGGAGCTGGATCATCTTTAAAGCCCCAATCCCACTCTGGGATTCTGGGATTATTCCATGGAATAAACCTGGATGCGGCAGGGTTTTACTGCCGGTGGACTTTGGTGGGGAATTAGGCATTAAAATTCCTTTTAGCCACCAATTTTTGGTGCACTTCAGACTCCTCCCAGCTACCTGAGGATGCAGGGAGTTTTCCACAAAGCCCAGCCCCTTACCTTTCCCCATTCTCTTTGCCATTTGCAAAGTATCCCCTTCTGTAGGCACAGCAGATTCCCAGAGTGATGAGCACCAGAACTGCAATGACCACCAGGACTCCCCCGATTATCCCACCRATGTTGAGGTCATCTGCAAAGACAAAAACCAGCACCCAGAGTTTCTTTAGGGCAGCAGCAGCTTTCCAGCTTCACACGCACTAAAATGACACCTCTCAAATATTTTAAGCAATAGTTCACAGGGAACTGGTGAGTTCCTGCTTTCAGGATTAAATCTGTGCATGATCTGATGTCTCCCTGAATTTTTTAGATTATTTTTATCCCCTTATATTTGGGGCTGTGTGAAAGCAGGGAAGGCTTAATGCTGCAGGATGTCCCCCCTCATTCCTTATGCTGATGGCAATTTATTYATGGTGATAAATGAACCAGAATTGATGAAAACCATATGGAGAGCCACTCACAGACTTCCATCTCCTGCTCCTCACACTTGGCAAAGCCAGCATCGTTGGTTGCTATGCAGGAGTAACGACCTGTGTCACCTTTGTGCACTGCATGGAAAACCTGGGGAGGGAAAAGGGATAGAAGGATGTGAATGAGAAACGAGGCACTGTGAGGGTATAAAAATTCACATAAAAATGCATCTCTCTCTACGATCTTCTTCCATCAATCTTCCCTTTCTCAGCTCACCCAGACCCTAGAACACTTCACCTTCTTCAAATTCCTTGAAAACCAGGCAATGTTTTCCTAAATCTACAAGCAACCTCAGAGATAAGCTGTCCAGCAGAACAAGCTCTGCTGATGTGTGTCAGGGCATTACCAGAGTGCCTGTRTTGGGGTTCAGGGTGTAGGAGGAGTTGAGGGGTTTGCTGCTGGATTTGCTGTCGGCTGGCAGAGGTTCGCTGTTGCGGTACCAGCTGTAGGTGGACTTGGGGAATCCYTCGTTCTCGTGGCAGTGGAGGGAGGCTGATTTGCCAACAGGTACAGCTTTAGGCACAGAGCATCTGGGAGTCATGGGCTTCACTGCGGGGAGACACAAATTGCGTGAGTTTCGTAAAAATAAATAATTTCTGACTTCWGCGCTTTCTTAGGCAAAGCCATAAACATTTCCATTACTCCCAGCTGGTTTTAAACCACTCTGGAGATGCCCACAGCCTCTCCTGCTCTCATTGCAGAGGTTCTGGGTTTGGCACCTTGCACTGTGAGCTGGATGTTGATCTCATCGATGGTTTTGGTGTCGGAGGGCGCTGCCACCTCGCAGCGGTACGTGGCCGTGTCCATCCTCGTCGTGTTCTTGATCACCAGGGATGTCCTGCTCAGGATCTCTGCCCGGGTTGCAAAGTCTCCTGGCACGCAGAAAAGAGAGGGGAGAACATCAGGGGGGGTCACACAGGCTCATCTGGGGTGTATCAATTAAGCAGATCATCTCACACTCTGTTCCAGAGCCAAAGGAACTCGATGCTARAATMCCCAAAGGAAACCAAAGCTGCCAASCATGTGAGAGCAWGAACTGGAAAGCACCACTCCAAACCTCAAAAACCGTGGCAAAATCGAACTTCCAAGACAGCCCCAGGCCTTGCCTCCTTTGGAAGATTCATCTGGATGTGGCTCTTGGTCCCATCTGAAGGGCTGGAGCAATTCCAGATGGAATGAAGCCCTACTGGGCTCTCCAATCAGGCCAGAGAGGCTGCTGCTGATGCTCCCAGGATGCTGCAAATCCCTGCCCTGTCCCAGCACAGAGCACTGGCAGCTGGACACACAGATTCCTGCTGAGGCACAGGTGAACCCTTGGATGCTGCAGGAGGGGTCAGACACCCAGTGTGGTGCTGGTGTTGCTTTGAGAGGTGGTTTTTAATTGTAAGGCACAGCCAAGGGGATAAAAGGGTTTTACCTCGGTATTTAATGGGATCCCAGGTGTACAATTCGACAGAATGGGAAAAAAATGCCGCGTATAGCACGTATAGGAGTTTTATAGATTTCACAGATGAGCGTTATCTATCTGGAATTCCCTAATAAAAAACAAATGAAGTAATGTCCCTCTATTCTGTCCCTCATCCTCACAGATGAGCTGCAAAATTTATTGTGAAATAAATTTACACAATTTATTCCAGAGAGAACRCTTCCCAAGGCTGGAGCCTCAGGTTTTAAGATAGCACAAGGAACCCTGATCCTTCACTGAGGCTTTTTGGTCTTTCTGCCAAGCAGAACCCCAAAACTAAGTTAAAACATCCAGCTACAAGAATTACAAGTGTGTAAGCAAAGGKATACATAAAGGGTACAGAAAATGTTTAAAAYGGTGTATAAAATATAYAAAAGGGTGTATAAAAGGGTAGATAAAAATAAAAGACAAAAATCATTAAGCATCACAGGGATTCACGGAAAGGAAGCTGCAGGATTCCTTTCTTACCCAAAAAAACACCTCCTAGGCAGGAGCTCGCTGCAGCTCCCCACAGTGACCTGTCAATAACCAGGCAGGGAGGAAAGAACATCCTGCTCCCTCTCCATCCTGCACTTCAACTGCTGAAATCTGCTCTGCAATAAAGCAGCCACAGCTCCTGCCTTTTACAGGCTTGTTTGTTCTTCATTGTACTGTTCTTGAAATCTGTTTGGAAAGCTGTTTTGGAAAGCTGTTTTGGAAAGCTGAGAACAAGGAGCCTTCATACCCTGCATTTTGTTTTCAAAAAACACATAAGAGGTGTCTCCATTTCGGATTTTCTTCCACTCGATCCTGGGGTCTGGCGTCACCGTGGATTTAATGATGCAGGACAGCTCAACACCTAGCAGGAGAAATGGAGGCAATTCAGATTAAAAGGAAGCAGCTGTGTTTTTGCCCCGCTTTGAGCACTCTCTCTTAGTGTTTTATTAGGAGATGCTGCCCACGAAGCRGAGCTTTCTCTTTCATCTGCCTCGCAAACAGAAACGCTGCTGGGTTCCAGGAGCTATTGGAAGATGGATTTTGGCCAGCAAAAATAATAGCCCAGCAGATATCAGCCACGGAGAGAAATGAACACCCTGTTCTCTGCAGGCTGTGGCTCATGGCAAACAAAACCTTTTGTCGGGGTGAGCCCAGAGAGCCACAAAGTGAGCCAGGGATGCAGCACCTCCCTGGGGATGGACTGAGACCACAATTCCTGGGATAAACCCAAAAACCCAGCCTTCCCAGCGTCCCAGGGCACATCTGCAAGAGAAAACAGAAATTCCTCTTTCTGTCTGTGAACTGCAAGGCAACTGCTTTTCCTTCTTTTGGGACTGGTTCAAAAAAGCACTTAGGCAGAGACTTTGCAATGCCCGTGGCTTGCAGGGCACCTCAATAAACCATTTAAAATGGGGAGACCCAGACATATTCCTGGGCACTGCTCTGAGTYTGGTAGCCCCAAGGAACCAGGTGCCCATCAGCCAAATTTTCCTGCATTGCTTGGCCTGACACAAATCCCGAGGCAGCACGGGCAGCACTCACTCTGGAATTCCTGCACCACGGGCTTGGTGTTGCTGGATGTCAGCTCCACAGCCAAGAGTCTGCAGCCTGGAAAAACAAACAGGAGGCAATAAGAAATAGCACAGCTCATAAGTCACCCGGCTAGGAACGGGCTGCCTGCTGAGAAACCATCCTGGCCGGCTCTGAGGACTGACTTCCCCAGATAAAACCCCTTCCTGGCTGCCAGCACAGCTCCAGCACGTCTGAGTTTATTTAGGAGTTGTGGTGTAAATACAGGAAAAYGTAATTGTTAGAAGTAGCAATTAAAGAGGAGGATTAACTTAGTGGCAGTGCCAGCACGAGCCATTTCCTTGTGCTTATTTACAAGGGAAAAGAACTGTGGTAATGCAGGARGGGAAGTTTTATTTTGGAAGTTAACTCGATGGGCAGGGAAAGACAGGAAGCAGAGCAAGCTGGAGAGATCCTGTCAGTTCCTGGGAGATGGAGCAGGCCAGGCCTGGCCTCTGACAAATGCTGACTGCGCTGGGAARTAATGAGAGCGTGGTGAGGTAAAAGGGGAGGCAGTAAATCGTGAGAGGGCTGTGATTCAGGAGAAAACAGGAGTTCWGCTCTCTGGGCAGAGCCCCAGCCARGCCCACGCTGGGGTAAAAGCTCAGCCATGCAACGCTGTGAGGCTCCTGACACCACAAACCCACAGCTCCCCTCCTGCTCTGGGCACCAGAGTGTTCCCAATTAATCCAGTCTCCTTCCCTCTTTGGCATATTGCTTTAGTTTGAAAAATCTGCCTTCTGTGTCCCTTCTGTGCATCCCACCAGAGCAGCACCAACAGCCCTCATGCTCTGCTGGGTGCCCAATCCACCAACAACTCCCCAGAGGGAGAAGGGAACAAACAGGGAGCTCCCTGAAGAGCAAAGTGAAGCAGACAGCACAGGATATTCTGGAACTRGGAGTTCTGGTTCTTCTCCTCCCAGTCAGGCTGTGGTGTTCCCAAACCGGGCTGCTCCAAAGTCTGATTTTTCAGGAGGAACTCCATAAAATAACCAAAATAATCAGCTACAGGGGTCTGCCACAGCCACACGAGCAGCTCTGCTGTGACAGACCCATCAGGAGTTTGTGGGAATCCAAGGGAGAGGCCCACTGAGCTCACTGATCAAACAGCAGGTTAAAAATTATGGAAAATGCTGCCTCAGAGACATGAGATGTAGCTGAAAGTTAAGGCTGYCTCAGTCAGAGTAAAAAGCCAAAACAAACATGAATGGAAAGCAGGAAAGGCAGCTGAAGGGAGATGTGGAGGAAGAAATGATCTCCAGCATCGTGGAGCTGGAAATTCCTGTGCTGGCTTTCAGGGGGAAAGCTTTTGGGGCAGGGATTGACAGTGGGGGGACAACATTCCCCTGGTGGAGTGGCTCAGCATGAGAGCAAGGCATCAGTCTGAGAAACACCCAGGAGCTGCAAAATCACTCCCACTGAGAGCTTGAGGGCCTTCAACACCTAAAATCCTCCCAGAATGCTGAAATGTTCCCTGAAASRTTCCCAAATGAAGGATTCCTGTCCCTCGTGTTTGTTAACAGCTGACGCTTCCCTGGGAGCCCTGGTGCTRGCACCCCAAAGACCAGCAGGGAGAGCTGGGGTTTGGCAAGGTTTAGAAAGCTGCCTTTGTGCCCAAAATCGTTGTTTCTCACACAAAAACCACCAGCTGATGCTCACTGATAGCTGACCCARCCAAAACTGCTCCCAGCAGGACTTTTCCACCCTTCCCCCTTCTGCTCCGGGATGGTCACGCAGCATTTGGGAGAAATCCAATATTGAACTGAGATGACAAYGCTCTGCACTTTGTTTCCTTCCAGCCAGGAGCTGCTCTCAGCAACCACCAGCAATTTCTGCAAGTCTGGTTTAGAGCAGAGTCCATTTTCATCAGAATTTCCACTTCCAGACCCACCCCCCTGAAAGCAGGGAATTGTGCCACAAGATGCCAACACTTTCCCTGTGTTCATTRCAGAATCTCAGGATGGTYTGGGTTGGAAGGGAMCTTAAAGATCCTCCAGWGCCACCCCTGACATGGCAGGRACAYYTTCCAYTATCCCAAGGTGCTCCAAATCCATCCAGCCTGGCCTTGAGCACCACCAGGGATCCAGGGGCAGCCACAGCTTCTCTGGAAATTCCATCCCAGCCCCTCCCCACCCTCTCAGRGAGGAATTTGTTCTAATATTTAATCTATTCCTGTTCTCTTTCAGTTTGAATCCATTCCCCCCCCTTGTCCTGTCACCCTGAGCTCCTGCAAAAAGTCCTTTGATCCTCCAGGTGTCGTGTCTGGGGCTCTGATCCTCAGGAGCACGAGCAGATTCCCCTGATCCCAGCAAACCCCCAGAGCACAGGAAGCAGCTAATCCCCAGAAGACAAGGCACAATTATGGGAAAATCCTTCTGAAATCTCTGGCCACATTTTCAACAGCAGTGAGAAAAAAAAAAAAAAAAAAAGGCAATTTGATCGCCTCTGTTGTGAGATTGCTGCTTCTGGAACCAGAAATTTAACTGAGAGCCCAGGTTTGAGCACTCAGCTGATCTGAGGAGATGCTGGCTGCCCTCCTGCTCTGGACCAGTTTTAGTTTTGTCACAGATTCTTGCTTGCACTGTATYTTTGTCCAGAAAAATGCTGTCCCATCAAACAGACATGGCAACAGCCCTACATCTGCTGTGGTGACAAYATCAGCTGAAGGTGGGGACAGGGAAACCGAGAGGAGGGAGAAATATTCACTCCAAGGCAGTGGGACTCCACCAGGCTCCAGCCACACCTCATTTCTCACAAATTGCTGACAGCAGGGTTCTCCTCACCCACTAAACACCAGAGATTCAGGTCTACCCCGCAGGCACAAAGCAGGATGACAACAAATTTCAGGCAGAATCTGMGTGAGAGGTTCTGACATTATTCCGTGTATTGACCGTGGGCAGAGATCAATTTGGCTGTTTAAATCACCGCTGAGGAGGATTTATTCCTCTCTCTGTAGCACAATACTGAAAGTAGCATGTTCTAAATTAAAAGAAGGTTGACAGCAAAGCAAAACAAGAATCTGAAGTGGCCATACAGCAAGAGAGGGATGACTTTCCAGAACTTTGCTCTGCTGGCAAGGGTTGTCTCTTTGGTGACCACACTCGGGGRTTGTTTGGTTTTGTTTGTTAAATTGACATTAGTGCTTTAGCCACCTTCTAATTGAGTATTTCAAAGGTGTGCCTTCAGGCCCCTTTCAGCACAAATAAGCAGCAAAGGGTTTGTGTTATGTAAATGTCTCTTCAAAGGCCTCAGCACCCAGGGCTGGGAGAACAGCTGGAATTGCATTCCCTTTCCACACACACACCTCAGCCGCCTGCTCCACATCCCTGAATCCACCAGATCCGTATGTGCCRCATCTCCCAATTCCTACCAGGTCTCTGCATGCTGCAAAATCCCAAATCCCACCAGATCTGCATGTTCTACCCCCCTGAATACCTACCAGCTCTCTGTGTGCTACAGACTCAGCCAGACATATGGTTGAATCCCAAATGTCATCAGTTCTCCAAAATAGAATCCAGGACAAGGCACTGAAGTCTATAGCATATTCTTATGGCACTTTCTTCTTTTTTTTTTTTTTCCAGCTAAAGAGATCCAGCCCATGCTTGTTACTGTGACTCATGGTATCTGAATCATTTTTAAATGCTATACTGAAGAAAAAAGAAAAAAGCAGCTTTATAGGCAACTCTGTGTGTCAAATCTCCTTTCTGCTGCTCAAAGCYGAGCCTGACCTTCCACCTCCTTCCATCCTGATGCCTTTTGAAAGTTCTAGGCAGAAATGTGAAGAGGAGGAGGTGAAGTATTTATTGTATTGTAGGGAAAGTAAAGGGACGGCCAGGACAGAGTTTGGGAGAAGCTGCTGGCAGCTCGCAGCGAGCTGATGCAGTAATTTTAGTTAATGCACTGTCAGGCACAAGCAGCACAAAACCACGCAGCTGTATTTAAACACCTGCCCACCAAAGCAACCGAAATATGCCTCGCTCGAGGTGCCCATCATCGCCGAGCCCTTGTGAGATTTGCAATTCAAAGCGCTCCCGAAGCCACGTGGAACRCGGGATAAAGCACATGCCTTGTTGAGCATCTCTCCTTTCTGGGTGGGTACCGGTGCAGCAGGAGCCAGTGAGGTGCTGGGAGGTGCTAAAAATGTCAGATGAACMCTCTGCATGGTCAGGGCTGGAGGTGGCCCTGGAGCATCCATCCTGGGGCTGGGGTGGTGGTGACAAGGACAGCACGGAGCAGAGGGCAGGGCAGATGGGAAGGGCAGCCAGGATGAGCCCAGGACTGTCCCTGCCTCTCAAAGAGGGCTGTGGGTGCAGCAGGGACAAAGCTGAGCGGGAAATGTGTGGGAAATCTCTGGAGAAGCCACACAGAGCCAGGCTGGGTAAAACAAGGAGAGGGGAGCTGCGTTTCTGCCCTCAGCTTATTTGGARGAAATCACCATAAGCCCTTTCAGGAGCATCTGACCATCTGCCTAGAAATACCCATCCTTTTGTCTCCCAGTGCTGGAGGCTCTTTATCCCCTCCTCTCTATTCCMAGTGCATCTCACTGCAATTCTTGTGCCAGGTGGTGCAGGACAAACACAGCGTGGCACAGGAACGAGAGAACAGAGCATCCCAGGCACATTTTTGGTGAAGTTTTTGGGGCTTTCTTTGTCCAACCACCTCTGTGTGGAACTTCAGGACCATTAAATGTACTTGTGACAGATAAGCTTGGATTTATAAAGGGTGAATAAACATTTTGTAGCACTCAGTCATAACTTCTTTCCTCATCATCAGCCTGAGGAGCTGATGCTGTTTGCTCTGGCAGGTTGAAATCCCCTTGAAGCTGACAGAAGGGAGCAGGTAGCTGGATGGACCCTCCTTACCCAGTGACCCCAGCAAGCTGTGCCTTTTTTATCCCATTTTTCCATGGCAGCTCCCCGAGCTCAGCCTTGGCTCTGGGATGGGCTGCCCTGCTGGAGAACAATGTGGATGTGCAGCCAGAGATTAGTGAACAAAAAGCTTAGGAGTGTCTCGGTCCAAATTAAGTAACAGATGGACCT